GAATTATTTGTCTTTATTGAGATTCTGGTTTTGGAGACATATACAATTGTCAAAATTTATCAAACTGTACAATTAAAATGAGTACATTTTATTCTATGTAAATTATACCTCAAAATAAAATCTGAAACCCAAGCTTGATCTTGATCAGTTCTTGATTAAAATGAGGTAATATTCCTCATCTTCTATAAAGGAAAAAATGCTAATTAATAATATAAATGTATATCCAAAAGCACTCTGATATTCTTAATTTGAAAGAATATCTTAATTACTTTATTAGTCATCCAACTCATTGAAGAAATTTTGCTACTAATGATTATTCTGACAATATTCCAAAAAAATATGAATTGTAGGTCTTTTTATAATTGTGAAAAGTAGAAAAGAAGGGACTAAAGGGGTGGATAACTCTATAACTACATTTTTTAAAATTCTGAAACATTGTAAAGAGCACATATTCAAAGTTTGACTTAAACTCTGATGCTACACTTAATAGGATGCACTGAAATTAAATGGAATTAAAATGATACATGGCAATAATTATTAAGTTAAAAATAGATTCATATATATCTAAGTATAATGCAATTTACAATGTATCAAAGAATTATACACTCAAAATCTACGTAATCTTATTAATGTCACCCCAATAAATTTAATTAAAACTAAACAAATAAAATAGCATGTGGCAAACTATATATCTCAATTGTATATGTTTTTAATTAATGTTCATACACTTGCAAATATGATATGTCATATATATGAACATATTTGCAGTAGGAAATTTATGGAAGGTTATGCTCCAAAATATTAGCATTTGCTATCGTTTTTTTAGTTATTTTCCATGTACTTATGCCTAGCATTTTACTATTTTTCCTTATTTTATTACATGTCTTAGGAATATACTCATTTCATAAATATTAGTAAAGGAAAAAATGAGTATATATTTGACCTTTTAATTACCATACATGACAAAGATTAATTTTAAAAAAACAGAACTAATTTTTTATTAGATTCATATTGTTTTCCTACCAGTCTCATTTAAGTGATTCTGTTGCTTTCACCTGTCTCTGAAGACTGTGTTGTTTGATTTTTTTCTTTTCCCCCAAAGATTATTACACAAATGATTCATTAGTGATTTTTGAACTTGGTCACCAAGGGCCTTTTTGTTAAACAATTTTGTTGCAGATTTGGCAAATAAACAAATATTAAGCTTGAAATTGGAAAAACCTCTCCCCCAGAGAAGATAGTTCAGATCATCAACTCTCCAAAACGACTGGAGCTTTTTCTCTGTACTGGCATTCCTTTTTACTGTTCGAGACTAAAAGAAAATATTTCAGGGCTTATGGCAGCACATCTGTCTTGAAGAAATGTTTGCAATTGATTGAAGATGGGAACGCAAGTCATTCCAGACTTCTGTAACTGTGGGCCTGGATTCAGTCAGTAGTGAACTGAAACTCTCATGCAAGTTTTCAACATTACATTCATTTTCAAATTTCTATCTGTAAGAATAATAATGGTAGTTAAACATCTCATCAAAAGAGGCTATGACTAACTGTTAGAAGTATAAATATGCTATTTTCTATCTTTTCAGTTATATTCTCTCTGGTTGAGATTGGGTCATGTTTATCTCTAAGAAATGGATTTTCTCTTACTGTATAAAACTGAAAGATGTGTTTTAATATGGCTATTAATGAAATGTTATTTTTAGAAAGGATATTCTTGGATAATTTATATTTATTGGTGTGACCAGTTTTTAACTTTATTTTTATTGTTGACGCTATTACAGATGTCCTCATTTTCTCCCCTTTGCCCATCTCCACCCAGGCCCTGCCCCCCCTTCCCTCTAGCCATCACCACACTGTAGTCTGTGTCTATAGGTTATACATATATGTTCTTTGACTAATCCCTTAACCTTCTTTCATCCAGTCCCCCCTTTCCCCCTTCCCTCCGAAAGCTCAGTCTGTTCCATGTATCCATGCCTGTTTCTATCTTCTTCGTCAGTTTATTTTGTTCATCAGACTCCATAAATGGTGTGACCATTTTTATGCCAGAACATCATCTAAAGGTAATATAACTTGAGAGACATGAAGAAGCAATACTCCCCTAACAGGAAAAAAATCGATTGACAAATTGGCTCACATTGCATCATGTCATTAGAAATAAAAATTTTTAAGTTCTTTAACTATAATAGAAACAATAATCAGGCAATAATAATCTAAATAAAACATTACTCAACACCCGCATTATAATATCAGAGTTCTCATGGGGGAGAAACAGTTTTAGTGACTAGAAGAAAAATTGATATTATAACTAAATACTATTCAAAGTCCTTTGGGCTGCCTTAGTTGCCTCAGAGAAGCAAAGGGAGGGAGGATCCTTCAGTGCATCTCAGGATGATCTGTTGTAAATTTCAGGTGTGGAGCGACATCCCATGGGAGCATCCTAGGTCGGAGGCAAACCATGAGCAGATCCATGCCCCTTCTCTGTGATAGTGACTTCCACTCCTGAGATTTAACTCCGGAGCTTACACACACCGTCAACGTTGATATTGTCCCTGCTCCCATATGGAGGGAATATCATAAAGTAATATAGCAAAACTTTTCACATAATCCACCAATCAGTGGCTCCAGCACAAACTGTAGGTAGTTTTTTTCTTTTGACTCAATTTTTTAAATATTTTAGAAGCTAATACAGTATTTAGTTTGTGCTAGTTGAGAAAAAAAAACTGTAGACAGCATACTGCCACAAATTTAGAATGTCAAAGTCCTCAACTTCCGGTTTTAACACTCCACTGAGAGATGCATCAGGAAAGCAAAAGCAGTGTCAATGAATATACAGCTACTCCTCTGACTGGCAGAAAAGGCAAGGAGGAGACGACACTTATCGCTTTTTTCAGGAATAAAGGTAATGGATTTGATCTGAGTAGTGGTTTTTCATAAGAATTACTACACTAGCCAGGAAAAAAAAAAACTTCAAAAAAAAGTCTAAATGTTAGACTCAAATTATAACAAATTAAATAAGTAAATTCACCTCAAATATGAATAATATAGTTTCAGGTGGAAAATTTTTACTTAAATTTTTGCCAGTAATTATTTTAGGCATTGAATATATATGGAACTGTGTTACTTATATGTTCTGTTCTAGTTAAAAAGCACCAGTTAAATCTCAAAGCAATGTACATCCGCAGGGTAGTACTAAAATTGGAGTAAGAATTGATTGCTCTGGAAGACACCCAACCTCTATTTCAGAGTTTCATTAAACTCCAGAAAGAATAGATACTTAAACAAAAAACAATGACCAAGCATTTGCAACTCAAGTGGAACTGGGGTTTGGGAACAGAGATAAGTGAAGAAAAAATTACTCCAAACCATGTAAAGTGATTACTTCGATGCACAGCCAAATTTATTAGATTAATTATAAGAAACTCAAGGAAAGAAACAGAGGGAAGTGTGGACATTCTTACGTTTAAGGTATATTTGGCTATATTCCTGACATTCTGAAGAGCAATTATTTTTGACAATCAAGCAATTAGGCATTCAATAGAATATCCACTAACTGTACTTGTTAAATTAAAGGAACTAAAAGAAGAAACTGGAAATATGAACATAATAGAGGCAAGAAAGAAGAAAGATCCAGAAATTAGAAATTTAAAAGTAGGAGGAAAAGGTGCATGTTAAGATCAATTATAGCCCAAGAACATATAGGCTTACCCCATGGACACAGACAAGAGTGTGGTTATGGCCTGAGGGAGAAGTGTGGGGGCTTGATGAAGGTGGGTAAAGGTGGGGAGGGGGGAATGGAAGACATCTGCAATAGTGTCAACAATAAATAAATGAAAATTCATCATTCTCACAATCTGAAGGGGGGAAAAAGATAAATTATGAGAGAATGTTATGAATAGTGTGGTCAAAAGTTCTCATTCCACCTAGAAGCCTATAACTATTTTATACAAAAAAAAAAAAATAGGTATTTGATAAACTTTAGCAAAAATCATATTAGAATGGTGGCAGCAAAAGTGTGATTACAATACAGTGAAAAATGAATGGTTGGTGAGTAACAAAAGGAAAATAACTGAGAGCCAGGAGGTGGAAATAGTGATAATATATTTATTAGTTATTATGAGCGAGGCACTTTTCTAAATTTCAGATACATATAAATTTAAATTTTTAAAACAGCCTTTAAAGCAGGGAATGTGACTAGTATTTATACCTGATTTTTTTGTACTTAGTAACATTGGTGCCAAGATGTTGGAATGTATACATCTTAGCTAAACAGATGAAAGATTAAAAAAAAAAGTGGTGATGATGTCATGTAATCCTGTGAATGTCACACCCAACATATCTTAACATCCTAAACAACATATTTCTCACCAGAATACCATGTTCTGCGCATAGACAATGACTATAAATCTTAAAAAGAAAGTCTAAAAGAAAGGGAGAAATGAGAACAAATGAATGATGAAAACGTTGTTTAAAAATTAAAACATGAGTTTTAAAAAATTACAATAATGCTAAACAAAATCTTAAGCAATGGGTTGGAAAGCCTGTATAGTAAGCCCCAAACTATTTGTATTATATTTGCACTTTATCAATATTCAACTACAATGAAAAACATTGAAGTGTAAGATTTGGCTTTAGGATTAAACTTTAGTTAGCAGTAAAATATAACTATGTGAGTAATTCCAAACCAGTGTGCAGATAAAAATAAACCATAAATTAGGAATAAAAAGTGGAAAGGGACTCATAATTCATGATTTTTTGGAATTTGGTCTACATAAAGTAATCTGATTTTTAAAAATATTCCTCGAAATTATCAAAACATACACTGTGGAACCTAATAATAATAAAGATAATAATATTTTATAACCAAAAGTTTTTAAATTTCATGTCAGATGGTTTTGAATCAGTTGTTGAACAACTAATTCTTGCTATGTGATGTTAACATCACTCTCCTCATACCAAATATCTCTGAATTATAAATGCAGATTGAATAGAAATCAGGACTCAATGATGAGAAACCACACAGTAACAACTTTTGTCCTGCTGGGACTGACTGACAACCCACACCTGAAGACTGCGATTTTCATCTTTCTATTTCTCACCTACATGCTGAGTGTGACTGGGAATCTGACAATCATCTCCCTAACCTTCATAGATTCTCACCTTAAAACTGCGATGTACTTTTTTCTACAAAATTTTTCCTTCTTGGAAATCTCATTTACATCTGCTTGTATTCCCAAATATTTGTACAACTTATCAGCAGGTGACAAGACAATCACGTATGACAGTTGTGTCATTCAAATATTTTTTACAGACCTCTTTGGTGCTACAGAATTTTTTCTTCTTGCCACCATGTCCTATGACCGATATGTAGCCATCTGCAAACCCCTGCATTATGTGACCATCATGAACAGTAGAGTCTGTAGAAGACTCATCCTTTGGTGCTGGACAGCTGGTTTGTTGATCATGATCCCACCACTTAGCCTGGGCCTAAATCTGGAATTCTGTGACTCTAATGTTATTGATCATTTTGTCTGTGACGTATTCCCCCTCCTAAAGATCGCATGCTCAGAAACATGGCTCATCGAGCAGGTGATCATAGTGTGTGCTGTGTTGACCTTTATCGTGACCCTGGTATGTATAATTCTATCCTATATGTGCATCATCAAGACCATTTTACAATTCCCTTCTGCCCAGCAAAGAAAAAAGGCATTTTCTACCTGTTCTTCCCACATGATTGTCATTTCCATTACCTATGGGAGCTGTATTTTCATCTATGTTAAACCTTCATCAAAGGAATCAGTGGCTATTAACAAGGGTGTGGCAGTTCTCACGGCTTCCATCGCTCCTATGCTGAACCCCTTCATTTACACCTTGAGAAACAAGCAAGTAAAACAAGCTGTCAGTGACTTCATCAAAAGAATTACATTGTTCTTTAAAAAATAAAGGCACTTGCTAATGTGGAAGAATCAAGTTTTTATAAAATGATCAGACATCCTTAAGCTGTATCTTTACACTTTTAATCTTTTCCTTCCTCACAAGGAAGCTTTATTGGGATTACATTTCTCAATAAGAAAACATAATGCATTTCCAAAAAACAAAAGAATAACTTCACATGTAACCAAGCCTTAATAAAACAACGAACAATACAAAGCAAACAGAAACAAGGAATTCACCTTAATATTTTGGATTTAGTCATTGTACCAGTGTTTATTCCAACACAAACCTTTGAGTGCATCATTCTAAGTTACTCGATTTTTTACTTTAAACAATAAACCAGAGAATGGTTTGGGAAAAATGGGTTCAATATTAAAGATGAGATATTTAAATCTTAAGTATTAATTCTGTTAAAGATTTCAGCTTTATTTCATGATGATAAGATTGCAGCAGCTAACACAGAAAATCACTACAGACCTATTACTTTTTATTATGTGTAATAATAAACTTAAAATTTATTTTATCTTCACTTCAAAGATAGGTAAATCAAAGCTCAGCAAAGTTATTGCTAGTAAGAGGTAATATCGTGGAGCAAATTCATTTGTACATGACTCTAGACCTGTGTTTGTTATAGTGTGATGCGTGTTTTAATGTTAGAATGTCCTCAAGGGACACCTTAAAAAATTACCTATGCCAAATAAGTGTATTAATTTATGAAATGGGAAAATTTTTCTATAATTTTAAGAGAAAATAATTATTTAAATACAGTAGGCCATTTTAATATAAGCATTCAAAATGTATAAGAATTGAAAATATTTATATTTGAAAATAATTTATATTAATACTAAAGGCCCAGTGCACAAATTTGTGCATTGGTGGAGTCCAGCAGGTCCACCCCAATCAGGGTGTAGGGGTGTGGTTGGGGGCGGGGCCAGTTAGGGGGAGGGGCCACAGGTAGTTGGCCAGCAAGCCCCACTCCCTGGTTGAACTCCCAGTAGAACTCCTGGACGAACTCCCAATTGAGGGGGCAATTTGCATATTATCCTTTTATTATATAGGATAATATTTACAAAAAGAAACATACTTTAATATAGAACAATGAGGAGCAGAAAGATTTCAACAAAGGCTTAAAGTCAAAAGCGTATGTACACTCTCTCTAAGAAGGTAGTTAGAAGTGAAATTGTCTCTAAATTGGTATATAAAACTGAATTCATGAATGTAATAATTGTGAATGTCCCCACAAAGGCCAGTGAAATCAGGGCAATGAGCTTAAAAATGGCACTGGTCATGACCAATTTCTTGTAACAGATGCAGAAATTCATATTAAATATCTGGCCACCTTTAGCCACAGTCGTTCCTTCAATCAACTCTTATTTATATGCTCTATTCTAATAGCGCATCAAGGTCATTCAATGAATTAGTTTCCTTTGGTCAATATGATGTAGGTTCTGAGGCAGGTCTTTGGCACATTCTAACTCTTTCTACCAAATTATATAAGCTTTCATTCGGTCAAGACCGTTAATTTTGCTTTTCACATATCTGGGTTTTATTATAAATGATTTCTCCAGCTTTTCACATAATTCTTTGCAGAAATCCCTGCATTATAACCTTTGTGATTGCAATTCATCCCACAATTGCACTATCTGTTCTATTTTAGTAGGATTAATTATTTAGAAATTAAATTATCAGAGGATTGAATTTAAATTAATCACTCTCACTTGAGCAATGAAATACCTGGAAGCTTCCCAAATGTACAATGAATAGAAGAAGCAATACTAACACACTATGAACAAAGGAGGAAGCAACACCATGGCATAGGGAACTCAGCCACTCAAAAAAGGGGGCGGTGGAGGATAAAGGCCTTTTTCTAAGGATGAGCTTGGTATCAGGTCAATGCCATGTCCTATTCTTCTCCCTCCCAAACGAAGCCCATTAAATCTACCTGATGAGACAAAGAATAAGTCCTGACATGATTTCTCAAAACTCATGCTTATTTGAAACAACTGCTATAATATGTATATCATTATATTGAATAAATTACCTTTTTTGGTAACTCTAGAAAATATATTGGCCAATTGAGAAGTTCAATTTAATCTCTATTGAAAACAAAAATTTGATCAGACAAAATATTTAGAGAAGGATATTTACTATTCTATACTCTGTAAATTTTTCCCATCTGTTCAACCAGAACTTTGACTAGAATAAGCTCTACCTACCAGTAGCTGTACAATTTGACTCTGTCTCTCAAATAATTCTATGCACATGGGCAGTATGCTGAAAAACCACAACCCCAAAAATGTCCTAATTCCCTGAACCTGTGAATATTATCTTACATGGCAGAGGGGACTTTATCGATGTCATAAAGTTATGTATCTTAAAATGAGGGGGGAAATTAGATTATCCTGGATTATCCAAGAGTGTCCAATGAAATCTCAAGGAAGCAGAAATATCAAACCAGTAGTAGGAGATGTGACAATGAAAACAAAAGGTTGGAATAATACAAGGGGCTAGGAGCCAAAGAATGCATGCAGCCTCTACAAGCTGAAAAAAGCAACAAAACAAAACACACACACACACACACACACACACACACACACACACACACACACAAAACAAAACAGTTTTTCTCCTAAAGCCTGCAGGGAAAATGCACCCTGTGCATAACTTGGTTTTAGACTTCTGACTTCCAGAATGATAAGAGAACACATTTGTGTTGTTTTAAGCCACTAAAGTTTGTGGTAATTTGTTTTAGCAATAGAAAATCTATAAAATATCAAGAAATAAATAGAAGTATTTATTCCAAACAGTTATGTAAACACATCCAGATTGACTTCAGCTAGATTTGTTTAATTAAATGTACAAGGTTGACATTAATAAAATTATATAGGTTTCAGTATACAATCCTGATACACCATCTGTATATTGCATTGTGTGCCCACCACCCAAGTTCGAATCTTCTTCCATCACCATGTAATTGACCACTTAGCCCCTATGAGAATTGTATACTTGGAACCTATATAAGAGAACACATTTGTGTTGCTTTAAGCCACTAAATTTGTGGTAATTTGTTTCACCAATAAGAAACCACAATATGCCGAGGCCGGTTTGGCTCAGTGGATGGAGCGTCGGCCTGCGGACTGAGGGGTCCCAGGTTCGATTCCGGTCAGGGGCGTGTGCCTGGGTTGCGGGCACATCCCCAGTGGGAGGTGTGCGGGAGGCAGCTGATCGATGTTTCTCTCTCATCGATGTTTCTAACTCTCTGTCTCTCTCCCTTCCTCTCTGTAAAAAATCAATAAAATATATATTAAAAAAAAAAAAAGAAACCACAATATTATTGTCTTTGTCTATGAGTTTTTGTTTGTCTTGTTTGTTCATTTGTTGCTTTCATTTTTAATCCCACATATGAGTGAGATCATATGACACTTGATTTTGTCTGACTTTATTTTGTTTAGCATGATATCCTCAAGGTCCATCCATGTGGTGGCAAATGGCAATAGTGCCGCACATTTTCTTATAGCTGAGCAGTATTCTATTGTATATATGTACCACATCTTCTTTATCCAATCATCTCTCCAAGGAAACTTTGGTAGTTCCCATGTCTGGGCCACTGTGAATGATGCTGCAATGAACATAGAGATGCATATATCTTTGCAAGTAAATGCTTTCAAATCTTTCTGGTAGATGCCCAGAAGAGAGGTTGCTAAATCATATGGTAACTCTATTCTTAATTATTTTTAATATATTTTTATTGATTTCAGAGAGGAAGAGAGAGGGAGAGAGAGATAGAAACATCAATGATGAGAGAATCATTGATTGGCTGGCTCCTGCATGCCCCCTATCCAGGTATGTGCCTTGACTAGGAATCAAACCGTAGCTTCCTGGTTCATAAATTGACACTCAACCACTGAGTCACACTGACCTGGCTATTCTAAATTTTTTGAGGAATTATCAAACTGTTTTCTTTTCAATTAAATTGATTCAGGAGACAATGGTTAACAGCATTACATAAGTTTCAAGTGTACAATTCTATAATACGTCATCTGTATATTGCATTGTATGACTACCCCTGAAGTCTGGTTTTCTTCTGTCACCATATATTTGACTCCCTTTACCCACTTTTTTCTCCTCCCACCACCTTTCCCCTCTGGTAACCACCATACCGTTGTCAATGTTTATGAGTTTGGAGGAACCACTAAACTGTTCTCCATAGTAGCTATACCAGTTTACATTCCCAACAGCAGTGAGTGAGGGTTCCTTTATCTCTAAAACTTCTCCAAAACTTGTTATTGTTAGTCTTGTTGATAACAGCTATTCTAAGAGATATGAGCTGCTATTTAATTGTAGTTTTGATTTTCACTTCCCAATTAGCTAGTGAAGTTAAGCATCTTTTCATATATCTGTTAGACATTTGTATGTCTTCTTGGGCGAAGTGTCTGTTCAGGACCTCTACCCATTTTTCAATTGGATTGTGTTATTAAAAAAATCATCAGATTTGTAAGGAACCACCAAAGACTTCGAAGAGTCAAAGAAAACTTAAGAAAAAAAGAACAAAGCTTAAAGTATCACACTACCTCACTTCAAATTATACTGCAAAGCAACAATAATCAAAACAGCATAGTTTGGCAGAACAACAGACACACAGATCAACGGAACAGAATTGAGAGCCCAGAAATAAACCCACATGTACATAGGCATATAATTTTCAGCAAAGGAGCAAAAAAAACATCCAATGGAGAAAAGAAAGCTTCTTCCATTAATTGGTGATGGGAAAATTGGAAAACCGCAGGCAAAAGAATGAAACCAGACTACTGTTTGTTCCCTTGTATAAAAAGTAACTCCAAATGGATCCAGGACCTAAATATAAGACCTGAAACAATAACTTACATAGGAGAAAACATAGGTACTAAACTTATAAACCTTGGTCTTAGGATTTTATGAATTTGACCCCAAAGGCAGGGGAAGTAAGGGCAAAAATAAATGAAAATAAATGAATGGGACTACATCCAATT